AAGCCCTGGACACCCACCTCATCCATTGAAGACTTTTTACAGTCATCATCATCGTCATCGTCGTCACTCTCCGTATCAGCTTCCCCTGTCAAATTTCAATAACAGATCATGAAGCGAACAAACATTTACAGGTTTGAAGCACACATGCCATGTGTATTACCAAAAATTTCCTTGAAAATTGGCCTTTCACTGTTTGTTTTATAATGATTCTTTTGGATAGTTAAATTTTATTAATCACGAGAATTATCCTAACATTTTGAATATGGACTTTTTTGGTAAATTTGTTTTGTGAATACCATTTGAAATTTATACACTCTATAACAAATGCTAAACATTTTAATCTATGTTAAAAAAAATGACATCACACACAGTTAGTTTCCAATGGCACATGTGTCCTATCTTGATGTGTGCATTCTCTTTAAGGGTCTGCATCACCCTAAAACAGACAAACTATCACTTTCCATCTTTTTTTCAACCCCGACTCTTCAATGTGGTGCTTGGCCTGTGCTCCGTGACCTTGCAGTTACCTTCCCAAGGCCGTAGAGGACCTCACAGAAGAAAGGAAGGGGATAGGGGCTGGTGCAGGTGGGGCTGTGGTACCACACCTGACCACACAACCATTCTAAGGTCCAACTGTATCCTATGATTTGCCTGCAGGCTTATTTGATGAATGCATTCTTGGATGTAACTTGGAAAATGATGAAATTCTGTTTAAGAGGGTAGGTAGGGTAAACTAAGTAAATACTTAAATCATTCTGCATTATGGAAATCTATCTCAGCTTCACATTTTGCCAATATGCAGTCATTCCCAATGGCTCGTTTTTCTCTCTGCAGATTTGGTGGATGATTCTGCCAGGTTAAATAATATCACCAGTGCTCTGCCCTTCAGTGGCCTGAGGTGACCTCTAAAAATGGTTCCCTATTCACTTGACCCAGATAACCCCACAAAAGTATGCAAATCAAGAGGTTCAAATCTTGGTGGTCACTTTAAGAACACTCGTGAACCTGCCCAGGCCATCAAGGGTATGCAGAAGTGATGTGTACCATTCTGTCGTTACAATAGTGTGCCCAGGTCACAAACAGTGGGGCTGGACACAGGGACAGTGATCCCCCAAAAAGTGCTGAATTTTTGCTGCACAAGCTTAAAAATGCAGAGTGATGCTGAACGTGAGGGTGCAGACCTAGAGCCTCTGGTCATTGAGCACATCCAGGTGAACAAGCTCCCAAGATGCAGCACAGAGCTCCTGGGCGGGTTAACCCACAGGAGCTCTCCCTGCCTCACTGACAGGATCCTGCTGACAAAGAGCAGCCTGTTCCTAAACCAGAAGAGGAGGCTGCACAGAAGAAAATGATATCCCAGAAGAAACTGAAGAAACAAAAGCGTATGGCCTGGGAGTAAATTGAATATAAAATAAATGCTAATGAAAGTTTAAAAACTACTTTCACTAATATGAGGCATTACATTCTTCCACATCTCTGGGCTCTCATCAGACCCAGTAATAACAGTTATGTAAATAGAGTTCCAAGTAAAATGTAAAGAAGGCATAGTTCTAAATTGGTTGAGTTGACTACGGCAGGTTTCACACAGTGCAACAGCATGATGATCCCCATAGATGGCAATATTGGCTCAAAAATGAGGCAACTGGATTGGCCAGTCCCTCCTGCCTTCTAAGTTAGCTGCCACACTCACGCTATATAAATGACAGTACCCACAGCACTGTCTTCCAAGAAGCTTAGAAATGTTTTCATTTGGCTGATGAAGTTGAATCGATTACTGAATGATTGCAGTGAGCAAAACATTCATGAACTATCTTTAGTGGAAACAGAATTTTGGCTCCAGCAAGCCTTATTATTTATGGCTTATTTACTAAAGAACGCCACATACAACCACTTTGTGATGCTTATGTTGGGTTAGTTAATAAGGTAAGTCCATTATATTTTATTTTATTATTATTTTTTATTTTTATATTTTTATTGATTTCAGAGAGGAAGGGAGAGGGAGAGAGAGATAGAAAGATCCATGATGAGAGAGAATCATGGATTGGCTGCCTACTGCACGTTCCCCACTGGGGATCAAGCCCACAACCCGGGCATGTGCCCTTGGCTGGAATCGAACCCAGGACCTTTCGATTCGCAGGCCGACGCTCTATCCACTGAGCCAAACCGGCCAGGGCAAGTCCATTATATTTTAGATAGAAAACATATTCTACTAAAGACACATTCTTTTGGGAGGCTAACACATTTTTTTCTAATCAAATTTGTTGCCCCAAGTAACTATGTTTTGTTTTTTAATCAGAGAGGGGATTCTGTTTTGTCAACTAATTTAAAAAGTCGATTGACAGAGCCTCCTGCACAATGCTGCATGGGGCACAATATAGCAGTCATTCCAAATACTCCATCGGGTCAGAATTTGGTTGCATGGGCGGGGGAGGGGGGAGGGAGGATTTATCTTCTTTTACTCTATGAGCAGGGACCTGCTTTTTCCTTATGTCTTTGGAGGGACCTTGAAGGAATCTTGTTGGACCACGGAAAAAAATCTTATTTTACCCTAGTTTTTTAAGATAAGTATCCTGGCAAAGGGCTGAGTCCTGGAAGAGGCACCTGGCCAACCACGGCCACAAGAAGCAAATTAGTTCTGAAATAAGAACCATTTCATGATTTTTCAAGTTCCTTGACTTCACAATACCAAGAACATCCATAAACCAAATTTGGTCAATTAGCAGTCCTCCTTATTCAGGGGCCTACCTGCATATTACAATGTCCAAAATTTTCCACCGGAATAAATAAGGATTGCTCAACAGACTATGGGGCTAATTTAGGAACTACCGAATTACTAACAGATTGCTGCTCTTTCTCTGTATTAAGCAATAATGTTCGGTGCCTGTGAAAATCACTATTTGTGTTATGCATGCAGTGAATAAGAGGCAGGGAGCTGGGAGTGAGGAAGGCAGATGGAAGTCAAGCACCCACATCCGAAGAAGATGCAGGTTACTCGCCAGCCCCAGGGGATGGAACTGTGCTAGGGAATAGGTGGGCTGTTAATGACATTCATCCCAAAACTTCACAAAGAACATTCTTACTGAGAACAAAAGCTGTTTTTGAAAAAAGAGTCAGAATTGCGTAATAATGTTTGAAATAAACATTCAAGAACTTAGAAAAAAGACTTTCAAAGAATTACATCATGTCTGTTGATAAGGATTTTTATCTAAAGGAAAGGAACAGACAATTGGAATGGGAAATTAGAAGAAAAGATAAATCAGAGAGTTGGCCAACGTTCTTTTCCCCTGATTGCCATTGAGTTTATATTTTAATTTTTAAAAATTATTTTAAAATCTCTTAGTTGCCATATGTAAGTATACAGAGAAGTATAGATATCATATGAATACAGTACAATGAATTTAACGAACATAAACCTGCCTGAGTGACTAGTACTCAGATCAAGAAACAAAATATGACCCGAAGCTCCCTGGGACTCCTCCCAGTCACTTCTTCACCAATAATAACCATTTCCTGACTTCCAATGACATAGGTTAGTCCTGCCTGATTTGGTACTTTATATAAATGGAATCGTGCCATACTTTTTAAAATTTGACTTCTTTTGCTCAACATTATGTTTCTGAGATTCATTCATATTAATGTGAGCAGTTGTAGCTCATAATTGCTGCACATTACTCCACGATGTGAATGGACCACGGTGTGTTTCTCTGTTGTTGAGTGTTTGGTTGGTTTTCCTCTTGTGGCTGTTCTGAATAGTGCTGTTCTAAGCACTTCCTGTCCCTGCCCCTCGGTGAAGATTTATGTGCACTTCTCTTGGGCTCAGACCTAGGGGTAGAATTCCTGGCTCATAGGGGTGCCTCCATTCAGCTTTTGTAGATACTGCCCAACAGTTTTCCAATGACAGTTAAACATTTCATTGGAGAACTTCCTAGATTCAAGCCTAAAGTTTCCTCCACTTGCCCACCCTCCACCCAGGAGGTCTTCATGATACACTTTTCAGATCTCCAAGGTTATTTTAACTAAACTTGGAAAATAAATTAGACTAAGTCACAAAAAATTCAGAGAAAATGGGTGACCACTTAGAATTAATTTCTCATCAACCACGAAAATCTATTTCAAATTAAATAAAAAAGGAGAATTATTAATGTTAAGCATCACCTAGTAGTTTTGATAGATAATTTAAGTAACTTTGCCCTTTCACATTTTAATAGAGCTCTTTAAAATAGGGGTATACTGAATTGCCCAGAAGTCTCAGCATCATCAATGAGAACACATGAAGTGAACATCTTGTGCCCAGTCCTATAATACATGCCAAGGGATTCCCCGCCCTAAAGAAGCTTAAAACCATGAGGTCACTCCAAAGGTTATCTGGCTTCTGTGGTAGCCAGAATCATGGCTTCCCCAAAATGTCCATAGCCTGTGACTATGTCCTATGTCCTGGATTATCCTGTTGGGTCTGGTGTAAAGACATGAGTTATTCAAAACAGCAGACCTTTCTTGGCTGTGGTCAGAGGCAGATGACAGAAGGGTCAATGAGAGCGATATTGCTGGCTTTGATGTTGAAGGAATGGGGCCACTAGCCAATGAATGTGGGTGGCCTCTGAAAGTTGGAAAAAGCATGGACTAGGATTTCCTAGACTCTCCAGAAAAGAATGCAGCCCTGCAGCCACCTGCAGCTTAGCCCAGTGACACCGCATGGACCTTCTGACTGGAACTGGGGGATAAGACATCTGTGTAGTTTTATGCCACCTCGTTATAGCAGCAAAGGAAAGCCAATAACATTGAGATTTGAGCCCAAATGGAAATGTAAGAAGTATTTCTAGCTAGTTTTAGAGGAGCAATTCTTAAACCCATGCATAATAGGAGACAGAGAGCGCGCCTGCCCCTCACCCCCCAGCCCCTCACCTGCCAGCCCCTGGGCCCCCAGCCCCTCACCGGCTCCGGGAGACGAGGGCTCGAACACGCTGGAGGAGTCACTGCACGTGTTTGAGACTTGTTCTGAGAGTTTCTTTTTGCTGCTTCCTTCCGACGACTTGTGTGATTTCTTCTTATTTTTCACCAAAATTTTGTACATTAAATCCATAGGGCTTGGAAGAGGAACTCCAGATTCCAGCTATTTTTTTTTTAAAGAAAGAACATTCATTAAAAACCCTCCCCTTTCCTTTCAGATTCTCTCCCCAAGCCCCCAGGACAGCTCTGGATTCCAAGAGCTTCCAGGTTATCCTTTACTCCCGATAAGATAAGATGAAGATAAATTAAGTGTGTGCTGAGCAGGGCTGGCTCAGGGCTCTTGGCTTTTTCCCATAGCAGGCATATTATAATTACCATTCTTATTTCCTCCCAGCGAATCCACATGCATCAGATCACAGAAATACACTAGTAGCTTTGGTGTGCGAACACGAAGTGCCATGAGTGTCCACAGGACCATATAAATCCAACCACTTTGACTTAGGACAGAAAAGGAGGCCTGGCCTGGACTGTCCAAGGAGGAAGCCAGTTAGAGTGTGGCGCCTGCCAGGCAGAGTTGGGAAAGACAGGCACCGGAGAACCCAATTTTCAGTGCAGTTTCAAAACAGCAAAAGCCCCTTCCTGGCGCCAGGTAGTTTAGCTGCAGCCTCCTTGGCACGGGCAGAAGCAGAGCAGGTGGCTTCAGATTTCCTTGCCGCCCTGAGGTTCAAGCCACCCTTGTTTGCAAGGCTTACTTCCGGTGTTTCAACCTTGCACCTCTAGTGGGGAAATCAGTTTCCCCTGCTAGGGTTATTAGATGCTGCATCAGGAGCACCTGTGCAAGTCCCTAGAGGGGCTATTTTTAGAAACTCCCATAAACTCCCATATAAACCCGTCCTGTGTTCTTTGCTTTCAACGAGCCTGGGCACTGGTATGAAAAATTGTGTAAGGATGTGGGGAGACTTGGAGAGAGGGGGGAAGAGGGAAGAGGCTACCAGAGGCTGTTTCTGCTGCTTCCCCTCCCAAAGAAGGGGTGTTGCCATGGCTACAGGACGCCTGAGTTCTACCACCCCAAGAGGAATGTTCTGGGAAGTGAGCAGCGGCCAGCAGGGACAGGCCCAGATGTCACTGTGCCACCTGCGAGGTCCCGTTTTGCCAACCCTTTTCTCTCAAAGGGGTGTGATGTGGTTCCCTGGGAGGTGATCAGAGCCCTGCCCCCTCAGATGGCCTCTGTGGGCTGCGGTTGCCTGTGGGAGCCCTGCAGTCCTGAGTGGGTCACGTCTGGCAGCGAGGGAGAGGGAGGAGGACTGTGGGCAGAGGGAGAGAATGATGTCTCCCACCCACAGTGGCACACACTACCCGTCTCCTCCCAGTCCAAAGGTTCACTGTCAAGGACATAATCTTACCGAGAAAGGTAAACATGAAAGGCATGTAAGGAAGTGCCCCCTACCTCCATCATAAATAATACGTGCGTCCCCTCAGGGGTAAACATCAAAAATGCTTACTGGGTATTTTTCCAGGGGCTCCATGAGAAGGGCATCCCCGAAGATCAGCCGACAATACTCTGCCATCTTGGCCTGCTGCTTCGGGCTGCGGGAAAGGAGAGAGAAGGGATGAGCAAGGAGGCTTACTCCAGAGGCTGGACAGGAGGCTTACTGTGTTATTAATCACAGAAAGAGGCAATGCCCTTTCTGGATCCGTGTTTATCATGCAAAATCCCTTGTTTACTACCTGCCCTCTGAGAATCTGAATACCACACTCTGGCAGTATTCTCGAATGTCCCAGAGTTAGGGAATCAATCCCTTTGGTTTAATTTCCTGATTCCAAGTCAAATGCAAGACACTTGGGGGTGGAATTTGTTCATGATTTCATGTGAATTCTTGGGTGAAATTTGTTCAACCAACAGAGAAACCTAGACTGCAAAGGAGGTTTATAAGGAGGTAAGGGAGGAGAGGGAGGAAAGGAGAGATTTGGATAGAGAGGAAGGAGACAGGGAGAGAGGGAAAGAGAGAGAGGGAAAGAGGGAGAGAGAGAGAATATATCTCAAAATGTAGAAGAAAGGACAGATGGGCAGAAGCCTTGGGGAGAGGTCCTAGAGAGGAAAGACAAAGCAGCAGGCACCTTGGAGAAAGGTGTCTGCAACTCTTATGTGCATAGTAGGGAAACAAAGGTCTGTCAGCCTGACTATGTGCCTGCAGGCATCTGGTCTGATGGGAAAAGGTTGGAGACTCCAGGCTCTCAACCATTCTTGATGTGTAATGGAGAGAATAATAACTACTCCTGGAAAGGGACAACGCTGCTGAGAAGATGAAGTAATGGATGCAAATGCCTTTTCAACATTAAAGACCAGGGCAAAGGTAAGATGATTGCAGTCAGACTAGACAACTTGTGAGCCTGCGAACATAGAAACACCATTCCTATGAGGGAACATCCGTAGTCTTTCAATACTCCTGCTTCCTTTGACCTTTTGCAAAGCAATAACATTTTTCTCATTCTGTAGAATGTTAAATATCATTACAAAGGCATCCAATTCCATCGGGCTTTGTGGACCGTGATTTTGATCTACAGGCTGCCAAACTCGATTTCCAAGAGTCCTCTTTACGTGCTGCGATGTGAAGACCTTTAGCAGAACTGGGACTGAAGCAAGAAAAAGTAAGTGATAAAAAGCCTTCTTTATACAATTCCAGTTGATTTAAAATGTGATTATTTTCCTTCCCTCTTGGAAGACATGACTGTTAAGCCCGGATCATGGACTGCTTTTTCCTGGAAGGGGGGTGACTTTGGGGGTTCAAATCATATCATCATGGCCCACAGGGAAAAGCACTCCTTAGCCCCCCTTTGTAAAAAAGCATATATTTGGGGGTTCTAGTGAGTTTTCTGGGGTCCAAATATGAGCCTGAATATGGAATTGCAGGGAGAGGCAAAGAAGAGAGTCACAGAACTTGCAAATCCCTACATAGCAGCTTCCCAACTTCTCAACCCACCTTCCTGGAGGCATATGAGATTGACTGCATGGCCAGGCAGCCCTGAGCATACACTGTGGCATTCCTCCGCAGTTACACAGAGAGGAAAACTGCCAGTCAGAGCAGCGTCCTGAAAAGCACTGGGGGTGCAACGTCTGAGAAGTTGGGGAGCAAGCAGAGATGTGGCCCATCTGGCAGGCAGTCCAGGAATCCTCAGTTCAGACACTTTTGCTCAAAGGATAACTGACCCTGAGGCTCAACCAAGCCAGCCAGCTCTGTGCCTGTAGCACAAGCACGTTCAACTGTGCGGGGCCTGCATGGTCCAGATTGCACAAAAGAAACTGTCCAAACCCTCCATTTCACTTTCACAGAATGAAGCTACTAAACATCACAGAGCTTTGCTACCCAAGTGTGGTCCATGGCCCAGCAGCATCAACAGCCCTTGGAGCTGGTTAGAAATGCAGGTTCAAGGCCTTCAAGGCAGATTCTGAATCAGAATCTCTGAGGAAGCACGGCCCAAGGTCTGTGTCTGAACAAGGCTTCTAGATCATTCTGAAGCACGTTCAAGTTTAAAACAGCTATGATTGCCCTAGCCAATTTGGCTCAGTGGTTGGACCATCAGCCTGCAGACTGAAGGGTCCCGGGTTTGAGTCCTGGTCAAGGACATGTACCTTGGTTGCAGACTTGATCCCCAGCAGTGGTCGAGGCATGTGTGGGAGGTAATCAATCGATGTATCTCTCTCACATCAATGTTTCTCTCTCTGTCTCCCCCTCTCCCTTCCACTCTGTCTAAAAATTGATGGTGAGGATTAATTAAAAAAAAACCAAAAAACTCAAATACTACGATTGATTAAAATAAGTGAACAGGTGCTGAAGTAGATGATATTTTTCTTGAGTTTTGGAATTTGGAGCCCCAAGTTCCTTTGATCAGAGACCTGGAGGGAAAAGGGCTTCACAGGAATGCCCTGCTTTCAGGATTTCTCAGGGAACAATAGTCTCACCAGCAGAGGGAGATGTTCCAGGTGTCCCTTACAGGTGACAGGCAGATTCCTGTGCTCTGTAAAATAGTCCTCCAGGCCCAGAGAAGGGATTTTCTGGAGCACAATCTTACACCTGATTCCACTAAAGCAGTGGTTCTCAACCTTGGCTGCACATTAGAATCACCTGGGAATCTTTTTAAATCCTGATTTCTGGGCCTCATCCTCCAAAAATTCTGTTTCTTTGTTACTAATGTTGTGGCCCCATCCCATAACAAAGAAACAGAATTTCCGGGAGAATGAGGCCCAGAAATCAAGATTTTAAAAAGATTCCCAGGTGATTCTAATGTGCAGCCAAGGTTGAGAACCACTGCACAAAACAGTCACCTGAAGCTGTTAAAGCTGCAGGTGGCAGGCGTAGTCTCCAGTCCCCTGACTCACTGGGCTGGGAGTGGAGGCCTGACACCTGCATTTGTAACACGTCTGCAGGTCATTCCAAGGCAGGTGGTTAACAGGCTGCAGTGCTTAAAGCAGAGAGCTCAGGCTTCACTCAAATCACGGGAGGCCTTAAGAAAATGAGGGTTAGAAGTCAGAGTCTGGGGTGGGGCCTGAGACTGCATTTCAATCAAGCTCCCAGTGATGCCTATGGTGCTGGTCCACGGATAGACCGCACTTTGTACAGCAAAGATCTACGTCTGACCTAGACTTTCTACAAACCTGCCTCAAAATCAACAGAGAAGGAGAGAACAAGATGTAGGTATCCAAGAAAAAGTAAAGCGCCCTATTCGGTAACCAGGCAATTCATGCTCTTCACAAGCGCACATGCCCACCTGACAGGAAACTGAAGCAGAACAGAGGGCAAACTGAATAGAAAAGGACCGTGGAAAACAAACCAGCTTTAATTGCAGGTCGGAACTGCAGAAATAGCATTGAGAGTATCAACAGTGGCTACCATGGAGATGAAGTAAGAGGAAAATATTCACATACACATTTTTGAGCTTCAGACCATCTAGACATGTTAAAATACCTGCAGTGTTTTAATAAAGTGTAGGCACCTGGCAAAGTGGTCAGTTCTCTAACCGAGAAACGTGCCTCATTTCATGGGGTCAGTCCTCTACATTGAACTAAACCAGCTCCTTCTCTGTAGACGAGGCATCGACAGTGCATAGAAATTAAAAGCCCAGGCCAAAGCTCCCACTGTCCGTGGCTGAACCATGGCTAGACGTTACTTCCTTAGATTTCAGTGTAGAATTCTTCTGTGAAAGTGCTAGCTCACAAATTAGGTGGAGCATGGGAGTGAACTAGGACTTTTCCAAGTCTTATTTCTAGAAATTTGAAGTCAGGAATGGGGGTGTGGCTCAGGAATCTGCATTTTGTGGGTTTCTGAAGGTAGCAGGTGGACCAGGAGAAGTTGCCAGCAACTGGTGGCAGATTCCCCTCTGCCATCCATGAATAGGTGACTGCAGATATTTGGAGAGAAAACCAGAACATTCTGTGAGTTTTATTTTTCCCAGTAAGTTTGTTTTGGCTCACAGGAGCTGGGACCAGAGATCTGCAGCCTGTTACCTGCAGGAGGGTAACATGGTTCACTAGAGACAGCACATAGACCTCAGACGTCTTTGGTGGCTGTGTCCCTGGGCCTCTGTGTTGAGAAGGATTCTGAGGTTACATTTAGGTTTAGTGGGAACTTGTGCTTCAGCTGATGAATGATGCCTGGCTCCCGGTTCAGCAATGAGGTGAGGTGGCCCACGTGTCAAGCAGAGGGTTTTACCAGCAAAGGGAAAGCTTATCAGATTTCTTAGGGTGCATGACAGTCCTCCCAGGAAAGGACTGTGGTTGAGCGATTTTGCTATGTGCAGCTCAAGGACAACAGGATTATGAAGCAAACAACTTCCTCCCACAACAGAAGTCAGTATCTTCGTATTTCACGGCCATTAGATTATCTCAATGGTTGGAGATAAACAGCAGGACATCCAGGGGTTGTTTTCCTGTTTTCTTTTGTTACCCGTGAATTATTCATAAACTTTTAATAGCTAAATTTCTCATGTTTTAAACCAGAAAGAACAGTATTATGGCATTATCGTTTTTGCTTTTGTGTGCAACACAGGCTTAGCTTTCATGCCCTTTGGGCTCTCCGTATGACGGGTGTTAAAAGATGGCAAAAAATGTCCTGTGGTTAAGGGTACAACTACAGAAATGTGAACATTTGCAGGCAGGTGCCTTGTGGATGCTCTCATGGTCTTCATTTGATGTTTTCAAGGTTCATGAACCTCTGCTTAGGTGTGGGGATGGTGGTGGTTAAATCCATGTTTGAAGCCAGACTAGCTGAATTTGAGTCCCAGCTCTGTCACGGTTTAGCGGAACGGCCTTGGGAAAGTTACTCTCTTTGGGACTAGTTTCTTCATCTGTCAAATAGGGACAATCATAATCATAATATGTATTCTTAGGAGCACCTGGATTCGTGGTGAGGGTTATATGGGCTTATGCTTGGAACCCTGCTCAGGACATAATGAATCTTGGCTGTTATTATGTGTGTGGCGGTTTTGGTTGTTGATACCTCGCTGGCTACCTTATAGGAGAACTCAACATAGTGGGTGTGATCATCAAGAATGGATTTGTACATTTTGTAAACAGCTTTTCACTTTGTCTCATTGACAGAAATATTTCTTGAAGAAAATAAAGGTGCAAGATTTAGAGAGATTCTTCCACAAAGGAAATAACCATCAACAAGTCTGGGAATTATAGTGCCTGGAAGAAAGATGCTAAAACACTGTGAGAACCCCGTTACACATGGGTGGGCAGAGATGAGAGAAGGCTCCAGGAAAGTCAGCTGTAAATCAGAGCTGTCGCAGCAAATGAGGTAAGAAATGCAGCAACTGAAGGGGCGCTGCTCCCTTTTGTTAGAACAGAAAAAGCCATGTAAGGGAAGAATGTATTTTCTCTTCAGTCGACCCGCAGAAGAAGTGTTAAAAAATTATGGACCCAATGATTACATCATCCATTGGGTGACTGTTTCCGAATGAAACAGAATCATGAGCTGGTAAATGTAACACAGGTTTCCCGAGGACAAACTAGAAGTAAGGGCTCTCGCCACATACACGTTAACAGATGATCCCATTTAACTGCTTAGGAATTTCCTGAAGCTGAAATTTGCTCATGACCAACCTGCTTCCCTAAGACTTACTGAAGTGGAGCCTGTGTGGAAATTAGTTGGGCAGAAGGAACTAGTGACCTGGAAAGGACTTTCAATGAGCAGGGAGGAAGGACCTGTGATCAGGACAGGTGCTGCTGGCTGGTAGAGAAAACTGGCGCAGGTCCTTGAACTGAAAGAGGACGACTTCCCAAATGCTGGTGTGAGCAATGACGGCCACTGCTCCGTCATCATCTTTAGATGTTAATTCCATGGTCAAGAATTTCAGTTGCTTGAATTTTGATTCAATGCAGAGTAGACTTTTTCATTTTGAAGTTCTTGAAATTAAGTGCATGATAAACTAATACCCACGTATTTGAAATAAACGTGTCTTATGTTGGTCCTCTGTCATAAATGAATATAAAACAGTAAAAGTGAAAACTGCCTTTTCTTTGTGTAGCTCAGAAATAAGTGCAGGCTATTTTGAAATAGGAAAAAGTTTTCCAATACTAACAAACAGGGGGCACCAATGGGAAGAGGATAGAGGGAACATCTGGTGGTCTGTGTTCTATATAAGTGCAAAGTGGCAGAATAGAATCTACAGCTGTCCCTGCACCAGCTCCCATGTATATGGAACTCTTCATTGTGGTATGGCTAAACTGACCATCAATTTGCATGCAACAGAAGGAGCTAATGGAGGAGGATTGTAACAGTGCCCCCTGAAATAGAGACTCATATTATGTAAGGCATTGTGCTCCATTGCCTTGTAAGAATCCTACTATGGCATGGAAATAGATTTCATAAGTCCAATGGATGTTAACATAAATGAGATTTAAATGAATGAATTCTATTTCACACAGATGAAAACATGCCACTTAATACATAAAATAATCAAAGAATACCATTAATAATGTCAAATAATCTTACATCAGATGACAATTATTAAACATGCCCTATTTGGGGAAAAGACTTCCTATTACATGTGTTCAATACTTACGAGTCCACATGATTCTCAAATGAAAGGAGAATTGGAAAAGGTGAAGTCTTAAATGCACACTCAGCGATGGCTTCTATCACTTCCTAAAAATGAGAACACATATATGTTCAATATACCAGAATTTTAATGTGTCTATTTTTCGTTGGGGTTATACTCATTAATATGGCTATAGTTTCCATTTGTAAAATAGTATCAAATGGCTTGAAATGGCCAGAAGGGATTGTGAAGGCTGCTGCACTCTAAATTTTCTGACTCTTAGCAAGGTTAAAAAAAACAAAAACAAAAAAGAACACACCCAAAAAACTATTTTGGTGAAGGAGAATGGTTCTATTTTCTCATTACATCTACTTGGTTTTTTTTAATAATAAAAAAAAACAACTCTAATCATATTGCAAAAAACTTACACAAGAGAAGGCAAATATTTTCACACATAAATTCATCCTTTGAAACAAACCACTGCTGGCATTTGGTTATATACTAGTTTTTTTTTATATATTTGTATAACTCAGTTTTAATTATGGGAAATACTCTATTTGTATTTTTTAGCATTGTTATGAGATATAATTCGCCCATTTAAAGTATACAATGACATGATTTTTAGTATATTCACCAGTTGTGCCCCCATCATCCCAATCTAAGTTAGGACATTATTATCACCCCCAAAAGAAATCTGTTTCCATTAGCAGTCACTCCCCCTTTCTTCACTCCCTCCCCATACACCCAGCCCTAGGCAACCACTATTCTACTTCTGTCTCCACAGATATGCCTATTCCAAACACTTCATATAAATGGAATCACATATATGTGGTGTTTTACATCTGGCATCTTTCAGTTAGCATGATTTCATTCATCCATGCTGTAACATGTATCAGTAATTCATTGCTCAGTCTGTATTTCTTTTTAAGGGTGTATGTCATAAGCTTCAAAATCTGTATAAAATTCTAGGGAGTAGCAGTATCATAATTGATTTAACCATTACCCAGTTGTGGAACCAACATTTTAAGAGCTATCATTCAAATAATTCTACAAAGAACATCTTCATTTTTTCCCTAGTAGTTTGAATTATTCTGGGAATGAATTCTCAGAAGGGGAATTATTGAATCAAAGAATATGAATACTTTTAAAGTCTCCTGTGTTTCTCCAAATTACTTTTCATCTTCAATTGCCCAGAGCAACGTATGAAGGACCAGCTTTCAATGCATAGCCACCAGCTTTCGGCATTACTTTTTCAAAATATTTTTATCACTGAACTGGTATTAAAGTGAGATCTCACTTATTTTTAATTATGTTGCTCTCAATACTACTGTGGTTTTACATACGCATATGTTTGTTTTTAGCTGCATTTATTCTTTTCATATTCTCTTTTCAAGTGGGGATTTCCACTCTCACTCCTTATGCCTGGGACTTTCTACTATCTCTTCTACCTTCTTTTATATTCAAGCCAGAAAGCTATTTCCCTGGCCCCAGACTATAAATAAGACTTTCTAATTCTGTACTACATTTGCATATATCCTCTGAGAAGGATGTGCCTGCATGGAGTGAAATAATCGCTCACACCATTTCCTAGAAGTGAATTCACAGATTGCCTTTCATACATGATCAGTTTAAACTTTTATGATAGTTGATGCCAACAAAAATAAGTGCACTATAAATAGCAAGCTACACCAACATTTTAAATTCGTTATTTGATTTATTTGAGCACAGGCCTGGGATTCAAACACACTTGTGTGTTAGTCCTACTTCTTTGCCTTCCAAGCTGTGTGACCTTGGGAAAAATCACGTAATGTCTCTGTGTATTGGTTTACTAATCTGTAAAGTGGGGGTGACAAGCGTCACTCATCAAGCCTGTGGGTGAAAGTGCATCAAGAGAAGGTAGAGAACCCAGCTTATAATGGGCACATGTTCCCAAGTCAACTAAGGTTACTTACCTCACTGCTGCCTCCCTCCCCACTTACCCTAAATCTTCCCTTTTAGACTCTTACTAACAAGAGGTGCCATTAAATGAGCATTTATTATGTTGTAGACACATATCTTATCTCATGCTAGAAACATTCTGTAAGGAAAATGATACCCACCATTTTAAAGATTGTACAATGGAAGCTCAGAGATATTTACCAATTTGCCCAAGGTCACAGAGAGGAGATGCCAAGAAACCCCAGGAAAGTCTATCTGACTCTAGAGCAGTGATGGCGAACCTTTTGAGCTCGGCATGTCAGCATTTTGAAAAACCCTAACTTAACTCTGGTGCCGTGTCACATATAGAAATTCTTTGATATTTGCAACCATAGTAAAACAAAGATTTATATTTTTGATATTTATTTTATATATTTAAATGCCATTTAACAAAGAAAAATCAACCAAAAAAATGAGTTCGCGTGTCAGAGGTGTCATAAGTTCGCCATCACTGCTCTAGAGCTTATGCTCTAGTCTTAACCTTTGCAGTAACTGTCCTGCAGCTAATGAGCTTAACCACTTAAGACAGAGCCATTAAAGCAGTGGTTCTCAACCTGCTGGCCCTTTAAATACAGTTCCTCATGTTGTGACCCAACCATAAAATTATTTTTGTTGCTACTTCATAACTGTAATGTTGCTACTGTTATGAATCGTAATGTAAATATCTGATATGCAGGATGGTCTTAGGCGCCCCTGTGAAAGGGTCGTTCGACCACCAAAGGGGTCGCGACCCACAGGTTGAGAACCGCTGCCTTAAAGGAATTGAGAGTAGATATCATAAAGGAAGTGAGTGGTAAGTGCCAAAAAGGGGAAGGGGGAGCTAGATTCCATTTATTTCATAAATTTGGTCCTATTATATCAGCTAAAGGCAAAACACATTGCAGTGGTTCTCAACCTTCTAGCCCTTTAAATACATACAGTTCCTCATGTTGTGACCCAACCATAAAATTATTTTCGTTGCTACTTCATAACTGTAATGCTGCTACTGTTATGAATCGTAATGTAAATATCTGATATGCAGGATGGTCTTAGGCGACCCCTGTGAAAGGGTTGTTTGACCATCAAAGGGGTCGCGACCCACAGGTTGAGAACCGCTGCATTAGAGCCATTCTTGACTTCTGTTTCTCTCACAGCTTTTGATTCATCAGCAATCCTGTCTAAAATATATTTAGAACAAAGCCACATCTCAGCCCCTCTACTTCAGTCATCTTGATCCAAAAATCTTTGTCATAACTGCTAGCTAGGTTTTTATCATCATCCCACATTTCACTACCCCTTCCTGTGAGATATGTTGATAATAGGCATGCCCATTTGTGTGTTTTGGCCAGTGAAATATGTATGCAAATGACGTGCTGCTGTTGAGCAAGAGCCATCATGTAGTTATGTCATTTCTCATCCACGTGCCATGAGCCCCGTGATGTTATAGATTGGGGCTAGTCTTTCTATATGGATTGCAGACAATATCAATCAGAGCAATAGTCAACATCCAACGAGCCAGAAATAAACTTTTGTGGTTCTAAATCACTGAGATTCTACAGTTCCTGTTATTGCAGCAAAACCTAGCAGAGGCTGACTTTTAACTACTTTCTTGACTTCTATGTTTGATAGAGCCTTTTAACTGCTTTCCTGGCTTCTACGTTTGACCCCTACATTACATACCACAGCCAGAGTGATTGCTCTTAAACAAGAATCAGATGATTTCACTACTTTGGGATAAAACTTTTTCATTAGCTTTCCACGTAATGGAGTGAAATCCAAATTCTTTATCAGATCTGACACCTGCTATCTTTCTAAATGCATCTCCTTTTCCTGTTCACCGTTGCTTACCCTGATACAGTCCACTGACCTTCTCTTAGTTTTCCTTGAATACACTAAACACAGTTTCATTTCTTTGTTTATCTTTGCTGCTTTTGTCAGGAATACTCTTACCTGAAAACAAGGCTTACTTCCATAGTGGGTGAGGATGGTGTCTGTTCAAATGTCACATAATCAAAGTCCTTCTCCCACCACAATGGTAGCCCCTCTTTTCCTTCAAAACTTATGTCGCCTTCAAAGGCATATCTCTGTGCGTCATATTGTGTTTATTTTGGTCAACTTCTCCCCACTAGACTGTAAGCTTCCTGAAGGCAAGCACCCAGTTTTCTCCACTGCTCTGTCCCCGGGGCTTAAGAAGTGCTAAGGCACATTCCAGATGCTCACTCAATATTTCCAAGCAAATAAATGAACTCTTAACATTCTTAATAGAAGAGAAATATTTATCTAACTTGTGCTCCCCTTTATTCTTCTATCGACTATTTCAGAGGTCACATACTTTTTCCATCAAGGACCAGAGAGTAAATATTTCAGACTTTGCTGGCCGTATGGTTTCTATGGAAACTATCTGACTTTCCCTTTGTAGCTCCCAAACAGCCTCAGATAATGAGCAAACACATGGATGTGGCTATGTTCCAACAAAACTTAACTTCTAAAAACAGGTGGTATGCCTGAAGAATATAGTTTGTCAACCTCTGGACTAGTGAGATCATTGGCTTAAGCAAAGCTTAACACTTGATTGTAACTAAAGGTAAATGTAATATTGTATTATGAAAGCTTGAATGTTGATTCCATACACAACTGCCTGGTTAAGTTTAACACTTTCATGGCTGAAATTTCCATTTAAGGTTGGGTCTTACATTGGGGGGAAAAAAGACTTTCAAATGTAGATGGAAGTATAAGTGTCATTAGACGGGTCACTTTCTGATGATTGCTGTCTTTGGCTGTTTGATAACTGCTCCAGCTACAGGTGAGTGAGAACCCTGCACCTTCTCCCTTAGAAAGTGGGTGTTTTGCCCCAGGCCCAGGGCCTGTCTCTTTATCTTTGGCCGATGGATTGTGAGTGTTTTTCTGGGTCTGCTCTCAGACGTGTAGGGAATTCATGCCTCTCTGTCTTCGTAGACCCCCAGGTCTGGTTCTCTCCCCACAGTAGAGATGCTGGTGTGGCCTGAAGTGCAGCTGGACCTGGGCTTCCTAGATCTTCCTACCTGTGTCTCCTGCTACCTTTTCCTGCCTCTGGTGTTGTGAACTTCTAGCCTTGTGCACTTGACTTAGCACAGTGATGGCGAACCTATGACACGCGTGTCAGAGGTGACAC